ACGTTATTCATAAATCACAAACTCCAGGTGGATCTTTTTTAGTTTTGCTTCTTGAACATTCTGAGGATGTTTTAGTCGAGTTTCTGAACATTGAGTTTGACTCGAGTTGAAACGATGAAAAACACTGAAACAGAAATAAAAAACTGCAGACGAGTCGTGACGCCGCTGAACTTTGACTCGTTTATCACCTTCTTCTTTTGGGACAAACAGACTCAGACTCAGAGCAGAAGATTCTGTGACTCAGCGTCGCCCCCGTGTGTCACAACTGAACATCACACATCCACCTGCAGATCCTCACAAACAAACAAACAAACAAACAAACAAACAAACAAATCAAATCAAATCTGTTGCGACTCACCTGAGGGTCTTTTGGGAAACAGGATTAGGTCAGTAATTTTGTCAATTCTTGTGGAAATAACCTCAAATTTTCACCGAACGTTTAAAAACAGACGAAGATTTGATCTGACATGTTTTATTTTTGTTCTGTTTTCATTCTGTGTCTTGAATCTGCTGCTCACCCAAGACTCGAGCTTCAACGCAACATTTGGAAAAACAAAATTTGGACTTGGAACCAAAAATGTCTGCAGGACTCGAGGATCTGGACCAACATCGACGTCAGGAGAGAAACGAGAGAAAATTCATGAAAAAAAACTCACGACGCCTCAAAAGTCTGAACCTCAGATTCCTCGAGCGACGGAACTAAACCAGGACTAAACCAGGACTAAACCAGGACTGAACCAGGACTGAAACTCAGACTGAACCAGGACTAAACTAAGACTAAAACCAGGACTAAACCAGGACTAAACCAGGACTAAACCTAAACCAGACTAAAACCAGGACTAAACTAAACCAGGACTAAAGGACTAAAACTAAGGACTAAACAGAAAACCAGGACTAACCAGGTAAGGACTAAAAACCAGGACTAAACCAGGACTAAACCAGGACTAAAACCAGGACTAAACCAGGACTAAAACCAGAACTAAACCAGGACTAACCAGACTAAACCAGGACTAACCAGGACTAAAACCAGGACTAAACCAGGACTAAACTAAGACTAAGACTAAAACCAGGAACTAAACCAGAACTAAACCAGGACTGAACCAGACTAAAACCAGGACTAAACCAGCTAGAACTAAACCAGACTAAGGACTAAACTAAGACTAAAACCAGGACTAAACCAGACTAAACCAGGACTAAACTAAACTAAGACTAAACCAGGACTAAACCAGGGACTAAACTAAGAAACTAAACCAGGACTAAACCAGGGACTAAACCAGGACTAAACTAAGACTAAAAACAGACTAAGGACTAAACCAGGACTAAACCAGGACTAAACCGACTAAAACCAGGACTAAACCAGAACTAAACCAGGACTAAACTAACTAAACTAAACTAAAACAGGACTAAACCAGTAAACTAAAAACCAGACTAAACCAGAACTAAACCAGGACTAAACCAAGACTAAAACCAGACTAAACCAGAAACTAAACCAGGACTAAACTAAGACTAAAACCAGGACTAAACCAGGACTAAACCCAGGAGACTAAAACTAAACCAGGATCTAAACCAGGTTAAACCAGGTCTAAACCAGGACTAAACCTGGATTTAACTGTAGTTTTTAAAAAGCAGGACAATATCAAATAATCCAAAGTAATCAGATTACATTACTCACTTTAAGTAACTTCATAAATTCTGCTACAAACTACATTTTAGGGTTATGTAATCTGTAATCTGTAATCTGTAGGGGATTACATTTTAAAAGTCACCTTCCCAAAACTGTTTGTGACTCACCTGAGGGATAAAAAAACAACAGGAAGTGATGAAAAATGTGACAAAATGACGTCTTTTTCCTCTGTGAATTTCTTTAAAACCCAAAATTCGAAACGTTTTCTGTGGAAATTTGAGGAACGACGTCACATTTTTTCGGGGGGGGGATTGTGGAGTTTTCTTTATTCACGTCAAAAACATTTACACACTTACACGGCTTCGATTATAATTTTAATTTTAATATTTATACGTTATGTTTGTCTCTGATCTGGAACGAGATTCAGAGAGAAAAAACAAAAACAGAAAAAGAAAAACAGATGTGCGTCTGAGCAGCGGAACAAAGAGAGAGAGAGAGAGAGAGAGAGAGAGAGAGAGAGAGAGAGAGAGAGAGAGAGAGAGAGAGAGACAGAGAGAGAGAGAGAGAGAGAGACAGAGAGAGAGAGAGAGAGAGAGAGAGAGAGAGAGAAGAGAGAGAGAGAGAGAGACAGGTGAGCAAACAGAGGGATGGAAAGAGGAGAGAGGAGAAGAGGGGGAAGCAGAGAAGAGCAGAGGAGGGATGGATGATAGAGGGAGGAGGAAGAGGAGGAGAGATGAGAGTTGATAAAGAGGGAAGACAGGTGAGCAAACAGAGGGATGGAAAGAGGAGAGGAGGAAGAGAGAGAGAGGGAGAGAGAGGGGGGGGAGAGCGGAGAAGAACAGAGCGACGATGGAGATGAGAGAAAAAAGGAGGAGAGGAGGAGGACAACAGTGTTTATGAGGAGTGGGGCGGGGCTTGTGTGTGTTTATGAGCAGGGGGCGGGGCTTGTGTGTATATATTTATAAGGAGGGGGCGGGGCTTGTGTGCGTTTATGTGGAGTGGGCGGGGCTTCTGTGTGTGTGCATCTTTAGGAGCAGGGGCGGGGCTTGTGTGTTTACGAGGAGTGGGCGGGGCTTGTGTGTGTATGTTTATGTAGAGTGGGCGGGACTTGTATTTGTCAGGAGGGGGCGGGGCTTGTCTGTTTGCGTTTATGTGGAGTGGGTGGGGCTTGTGAGTGTTTATGTTTATGAGAAGTGGGCGGGGCTTGTGTGTATATGTTTATGAGGAGTGGGTGGGGCTTGTGTGTATATATGTTTATGTAGAGTGGGCGGGGCTTGGTGTGGTGTTTGTTTATGTTATAGAGAGTGGGCGGGGCTTGTGTGTATATATGTTTATGTAGAGTGGGCGGGGCTGTGTGTATATGTTTATGAGGAGTGGGCGGGGCTTGTGTGTATATATGTTTATAAGGAGGGCGGGGCTTGTGTATATGTTTATGAGAAGTGGGCGGGTCTTGTGTGTATATGTTTATAGAGTTGGGCGGGCTTGTGTGTATATGTTTATGAGAGTGGGCGGGCTTGTGTGTATGTTTATGAGGTGGGCGGGGCTTGTGTATATTATGTTTATGAGAAGTGGGCGGGTCTTGTGTGTATATATGTTTATAAGGAGTGGGCGGGGCTTGTGTGTATGTTTTATGTAGAGTGGGCGGGGCTTGCGTGTATATATGTTTATAAGGAGTGGGCGGAGCTTATGTGTTTATGAGAAGTGGGCGGGGCTTGTGTGTATGTAGAGGGGGCGGGGCTTGTGTGTATATATCTGTCAGGAGGAGGACAGGTGAGAGTGGATTGACAGGTGACAGGTGACAGGTGACAGGTGACAGGTGGACAGGTGGACAGGTGGACAGGTGACAGGTGACAGGTGACAGGTGGACAGGTGACAGGTGACAGGTGACAGGTGACAGGTGACAGGTGGACAGGTGACAGGTGGACAGGTGACAGGTGACAGGTGGTGACAGGTGACAGGTGTCACTCGTGGCGTATCCCCCCAAGTCTGCGGTGCGAACCTGGAATCACAGGGAACACACACCGTCACACACACACACACACACACACACACACACAACACACACACACACACACTACACACACACACACACACACATACACACACACACACACACACACACACACACACACACACACACACACACACACACACACACACACACACACACACACACATACACACACACACACACACACACACACACAGAGACACACACACACACACACACAACACACACACACACACACACGAGAACACACACACACACACACACACACACACACACACACACACACACACACACACACACACATACACACACACTACACACACACACACACACACACACACACACACACACACACACACACACACACACACACACACACACAGAGGAACACACACACACACACACACACAGACACACGACACACACACACACACACACACACACACCAGAGAACACACACACACACACACACACACATCACACACACACCAGAGAACAGAGACACACACACACACACACACAATTTACAGTCACACACACACACACACACACAATCACACACACACATCACACACACACACAGCAGTTCTTGTCGTTTCTTCTTTGACTCTTTGAATTTTATTTGGACTGATTCATGTTTGGTGAAACTTTCATCTTACAAGTGCAGATCCAGTCAAGTCGGGACACGGTGTCAAACTCAACAAACTGAACACAAAGATGTAGAATTTGCACATCTTTGTTTTCTGTTTGTTGAGTTTGACACCGTGTCCCAGTGGAACTGCAGTTGTATTTTCAAGATGCCGTTTTGTGACGCCGTGACGTTCGTTATTTTTCCTGTCAACTTTATTTAACTCTTGAACTGTTGAAACAAATTTTCAAACTGAAAAATGTGGGAAAACTTTCTTCTCTCCATTTAAATGAAGTAACTCTGTTTCTGAATTTGTGTTCTGTTAGAAATGAATAAAACAATTACATTTTAAATGTTTTTCACTGTTTTAGTTTGTTAGAACTTTTTTTAAGTACATTTTTTTTAAAGGTAAATGGTTGCTTAACTTTTCATTTTTAAGTTTTGTAATTCTTGTTTAAATTACTGTAAATTAAAAACATGTGCAAGTTTTAGTCACCTGAAATCTTTAATATAAATGAATAAAAATAATGACCCTTGAACTATTAGTTCTAATTAAATATTAAATGTACTTAAAGGTTTTGTGTGATACTCTTTTTTTTCTTTTAAATCACATCAAGACAATAAACGAGACTATAAACTTAAAAAATAAAAGTTGTGCATCCATTTCCCTCGGTGTTTTTCCTTTTTCCTTCGTGCGTGTTTGAAATAAAATCTTGAAAAACAAACGGACACAAACG